AAGGATGACAGGGCTGTGGGGGAAAGCAGGGATGGGGCAGAGGGCATGGGAGGCACAGGGCAGCTCTAGACAGCTAAGACTGAGTGTATGGATTTCACACTGTGCAGCTACTTAACTCCATCAATTTCCATTGTTCTCTCCCACCTGCTGTCAACTCGTTCCTTTTTAGTTACTCAAACTTCCTGTCCCCTTCTAACGTGGGGTTGTAGGTGGCCCGGATGATCATGGACCCGGCTGCATCTCATGACCAAGCGATACTTTCATTTATGCTCTTAGTTCAGTCCCCGTAAAAGGAAGAGCAAGAGTTGATGGTTCTGGCATTTTTCTTCCTACTAGTTCCCAGTCCCTGGCCACACTGTGGACTGGTTACCCCTGAGTAGGGCGTTCACTCCAGACTCAAGGAGTTGGTCTGGAGGATCACAGGACACAGCCCCTTGGCAGCCGAGGCAGACAGGCAAGGTAGGCACATGAGTCACATCTCCAGGGAAGACACAGAAGACCCTGGAGGGTGTGGGCTTGAAGCAGGTCTTGATTCCCAGTGAAGAACTGAAGACATGGGAAGATGGGACAGGACATCCCAGATAAGAAACCAAAAGAAATTCAGTTAGGCTGGAATTCAACACAGGAAGAAGAACCCTAGAAAGGAGGTTGAGGCCAGGTCAGGGAGGCCTTTGTGTGTAGGGTAAGGAGAATGGATTTTATCCACTGGGCAGAGGGGAGGCTCTGAAGGAAGTGGAAGAACTGAGGTTTGCTTCAGGAAGATTATACTTCAGTTCAGCTCAAGGTCCACTGTTTAGGAGGTGTGAGAGGCTGGAAATCTGATTAACCTTCTCGGGCCCAGCTCCACCCTAATGCACAGACTGAAGAAGAGCACACCAGGGAGGCTGTTACACGGTCTGGGTGGGGTTTCAGCTGGGCTGGCACAAGAGCACAAAGTGTACCTGCAGAGAAGGCATGCCAGTGTGTGCCAGCGTAGGGTGGCATGTGAAAGGACTCGGGTGCTAAGGCTCAGGCTCACTGTAATGCTATCTGACTCGTGGAGTACAAATAAGAAGGAGAGATGAAGGTCATACACAACTGCCCACTTAAAGAGGGCAGATGGCACAGTAGCTGAGATCATTTACACCCATCACAGCCACTGGAGGAGACAATCAGGTGTCAGGGCTGGCAGGTGACAGTGAGGAGCAGACGAGGCAGCAGCAGGAGGTCTGGCTGCCACAGTTGCACAGAGTGTGGTCACAGCAATGGGCCCTGCAGGTTGTAGCTGGAGCCCTTGTCACAAACACCTCACTAAGGTGTCACTCACAGGGAGTGAGGGACAGGGAAGGGATCACACATGTGGGCCTGGTGAATGTCAAAGGTGGCTGTGAAGGAGAGGAGAAAAGGCTGAGGATGAACATTGTGGGGCTGAAAGGGGGAGCAATGGAACCCCCTCTGTGGGAAGCTCTATCATAAATACCTTCCTCATCTACAGTCGCCTTTCAGATAATCCCGGCAGCCACAAGAGCCAGGGCCAGGGTAGAAAGCCTTAGAATAAGGACTTGAGATTTTATTCCAAGTACAATGGAAAAATCAAGGAAGAAGCAAGATGACTTGATGGTTTTGACTATGTGGAGAAGACTAGCCACTAGGTCAGCAAGAGTGGCCAGCTAAAGACCCGCTAAAGATTGACTGCAGCTTTCTGGGGGGAAGTTGGGCTAGAGAGATCTTGCATTAAAGGGATGGCAGTGCAGAAAGAGACAATGTTCTGTAAGAGAAACAGACATAGGAGAGAAGAATTAAGGGTAGTTTCTGGCAAATTAAGGGTAGTTGCTCGCAACTTCAGATATATGTTTATTGAGATGGAAGATAAAAAGCATCCAGAGTTCTGTGTGCCTGTTAAGTTTGAGATGCCTATTAGATATCCAAATAGAGATGGTTAAATAAGCAGCCAGCCCTAAGCCTGCATCTCAGGGGACAGTGTGGGTTGGAGATAAGAAACTGGGAGTCACAGGTGTCTCGGGAACATTTAAAGCAATGGGTATAGGGAGAACTGAAAAGAAGTGTAGGTCAAAGATAGGCACTGGAGTGTCCAGAGATGTGACTGAGGGATAAAAAGAAAATCACAGCGTGATGTCATGGAAGTGAAGGGAAGGCAGAGCCAGGACGGGGCGGTGAGTTGTCTCCTCTGGCTGTGGTGGAGATGTCCAGGCAGAGGGATGCACAAGTGTTGGTGATCTGGCATTGCAGGTCACACGAAACAGACAAAGCAGTTTGTGTGGTGCAATGAAGGAGGAAAGCGGACTGGAGCGTGCTGCAAAAGGAGTAAGTAGTGAGAAGGCGGAGACAAGGATGCAGCAATCCTTGCAAAGGATAGCAGAGAAGCAGGGCAGTGCCGGAGCAGAATACAGTCACAAGAGCACTTTTTTAGCGATGCACAGACTTTAAATTTGTCCACTACAGAGTGGGAGGAAGCAGCGGTGCAGGAGAGGGGGCGAAGTATGGCAAAGGAGTCCCTGTGACAAAGAAGAGATGGAGTGTGGAGCACAAACAGGAGCACTGGCATGTCATCAACAGAGACGCTTCCTCCTGTGTGACAGGGAGCAGCAGGAGGGCGTGGGTTGTGGTGGGAAGGTAAGGGCTCTGTTTCTCAATGAACTATGTAGAGGTGTCATTAGCTGAAAAAGAATGTGAGAATACGTGTGTATGACTGTGTGTGTGACCTAAGACAGGAAGCTAGAAGACAGGAGATGACATAGCCATGTTGGAGATTCAAAAACCAAATTACTAGGAAGTGTCCTCCTTCCTGCAGGGCTGAGAGCCCATCTGAGGTCTGTGGTTATGACCACTGCAACTAGTCATGCAACTCTGAGGTTTCCTTGAGCCACATGCAGTTATTTGGTGCGGCCATGAGTAGCTGAGCTCTACCAGGGTCAGAAGTTACTTAGGCAAAGGTGGCAGAGGGAAAGAGGAGCAAGAGTGTTGAGAATGTCTGCAAGGGAACACTCCCAATGATAAAGCACAGCACCCAGGCATGAAGGGAGGCGATCGTGAGGGGAAGAACATGGCAGTCAGGATACTGAAGGTCTCAGTGGGTAGAGCCCATGCTGTGGAGTGGAGGCTGGAATGTGGTGAGTGAGCCTAGAGGTAGCACAGCTGCAGGAACAATGAGCTCAAGGGCATGGTTGTGGATGTAGGTGACTGAGGTAGGCAGAGGAGAAGCACTCCTGGAGTAGAAGAGCAGCTGGGGTGTGAAGGGGGGGCCCCACCCATATGGATGCTAATAGACCCAGATGCAATTACGAGAACAGTGTGAAGCAGAGAACCAAGAGCTAAAGTCTTCATTCCAGTAGGAAAGTTGACCAAAAAGTGGCCAGTGCTCTAATCAGCTTCCAAAGGAGCTACATTGATTGAAGGCAGAAGGAGGCAGAATAATTTGAAAGAGTTACAGGGGAGCAATAGGGTAAGCCACTGTGTGGAAACTCAGCTGCCACTAGCAAAGGCTGCAAGGAAGGCATGTCCTCAGGGACATTTCAAACCAGGGAGTGGCGATGTTCAGAACAGAAGAGGAAAGGCTGAACGTATGTTTGAGTCGCATAGGACACAGGCTCAGGGTTGGGGAAGAGGGTGCATGTGGGGTTCCACTGGAAAACATCCCTTTCTCAACTGTACCCCATGGCCTGGCTCTTGTCTTCTTTCAAAGGCCCAGGGGCAGGGCTGTAGCACAGAAGCCTTGCTGCCCACCTACTTGAGAACTTTTCACAGAAGGTTTTGCTGGTAGACCGGTACCTCATGGAAAAGATGGGCCATTTAAAGCAAGCAGAAGAAAACCTGAAACACAGGCTGAGACTGGCTGGAAAGACAGGAGCTGGTGATTAACAATGGGAAAATATAAATGGAGAGAAAGGACCAGTGAAAAGGAAGGGAGGCATTTATAAATTGATGAACAAGCGATGAAAATCACAGAAAATCATAGCCCTTAGAACAACATGTAACATGATAATCAGTGTTTTAAAAACCCATACACTCCAGGTTGGGAGAAAGACTGGTTCTTCAACATATCTTAGACTGTTCATAGTCACTCGAAACAGGGAGAAAGGTGCCCACCTCACTTGCAGATGGCACACGAATGTGATCAGGTAGATAACAACTACTGCAAAATGGTATTAAAATAAAGGAATAAAGTAAATAAAAACTAATCTGCTTAAACATTAACAACTGGGAAATATTCTCAGGATCATGATTTAGATGGCGGAAAATGACCCCAACACAAATTGACCTTACACAAGCTTTATTTCCAATTCTAACCCCAACACCAACTAAGGGAATTTCCTCAAACTCCCTGAATTAGTTTTTTTTCAAGAGAAGTTTGAAGGGAGGAGGTCACATTCATACACATCAATGTATATGATGTGGGTTAAAAACAAAACAAAACAAAGCCAGGAGATGAGAGAAAAAGTCCATGATCAAATGCCAATGAACCTTTCTTTTCATTTTTTTGGGGGGGGAGGAGACTTTTATTATTGTGTTAAAAATATATGTAACATTAACCACACTAGCCATTTTTAAGTGTCTTGTTCTGTAGTGTTAAACATATTCACAATGCAACAGATCTCTAGAACAATCTCATCTTGCAAACTGAAACTGTTCCCCCAAATGCTTGTGGACCTTTTAAGAGTGTCCAGTGCCCTGGTCAGTGAGGTCCAAGGTGAATTCTGGAACTGATGTCATGATTTGAATATTCTTCCCTTTGGGGAAGAAAGAGATGTGGTAAAAACAGTGCAATAGAAACCTTCTTTTCTCGTATACACTTAAAGGCTGGACCAAAAAAGAAACAGAATCAAGGGCAACAGACAATTCAACCAAAATTCAAATGTGTCGGGCACTCACTGGGATGGCAGACCTTCTGTCCAGGCACGAGATAAATTCATCACCATCACTATTTGACAACAAGCCATCCCTGAGATTTTAGTAATTTGCCTGAGAGTTACTATTCTCTTCTATTTAGTTATCAAACATACCTTGGAATCCTGATACTATTTGGACAACATCTTCATACACCATTAGAGTAGCAGATCGTTCTGGAAGCAGGCCAAGGCTCAGTGAAGAAAACACTGCAGAAACAAAATGAATATAAGGGAATTCTGACATTTAAATCAAAATGCCCACAAAACCTGTGCTATTTTAAAATTCTTGCCTGTGTACCTGTACTGCCAACTAAAAAAAAAATACATAAACCCTACAAATTTCTGGGTATAATATGAATTTAAGAGAAAACAAGTGAATGTATTATGGAGTAAAAATAACCACTGACATTACTGAACCCTTACTAACAGGTCAGACATTATTCTGACTGTTCATATTTTAGTAATTTATTGAAAGTCAAAACAACACTATGAAATTGATATTATTAACATGCCCATTTGACAATTAAGGAAACAGATTTGTAGGGAGTGAATCAAATTCCTCACAATCCCACAGGTGGTAAACACTGGAGCTGGAGCTTGAACTCTTAGTCTGTCCTCAACCACTTGCTATGCTACATGGACTTAAATTCTAAGGTCCCCCGCATTTCATCCAGTCTGAGTCTCTGAATTTAAAGAGGAGGAAAGGAAGGCCTGGAGCGGTAAAGTGTCTTTGGAGGAAAATATCGAGAACCAGAGATATCAAGCGCTAAGAATATCAATTACTTAGCACTGCTAAGTAATTTTTTAATTTTATTTTTATATTCCCCATACAATTGCAACCCCCTTATTTTGCTCCCAATCCCTCCTTTCCTCGCCCCCCCTCCCATAGTGTGTCTCTGGTTCATAGTTGTTTGTTGATTTTGATTTTTTCTTTCTTATAGTTACTCTTTTTCCTGGTTCCTTATTTGGGTTTTCTAGATTCCTGCTATGAGTGAGACCATCCGGTATTTTTCTTTTTCTTTCTGGCTTACATTGCTGAGCACGATCCCTTCCAGCTCCATCCATGTTACTGCAAACTGCATGTGTTATCTTTTTTGATTGCTGAGTAATATTCCAATATGTATATGCACCACATCTTCTTGATCCAGTCATCTATTTTTTGGCATTTGGGTTGTTTCCATAGCTTAGCTATTGTAAATAGTGCTGCTATAAACATAGGGGTGCAGGTGCTCTTTGGAATTGATGTTTCTGTGTCCTTTGGGTAAATACCTAGGAGTGGAATTGCTGGATCATATGGAAGCTCTATCTTTAGTAGGTTGAGGAATCTCCACACAGCTCTCCATAGTGGTTGGACCAGTTTGCACTCCCACCAGCAAGCACTGCTAACTTTTAAAGGTACAGAGGGAACTAGTGAGCTAGCCTTGGCCACAACTCCTTTTCACACACCCTCTGCAGTTTATTTAGAGCTGCCATTATACACAGGGCTCAGTGCTGGGTCCCAGGCGGAGGAGATCAACAGGGGCAGCAGGCTGTCCTTCACGGGCACTATCTTAAAGGAGGACTCGGAACATAACATGTGGCTGTACGACAGCAAAATGTGCCAAATGCCATGGGAAAAAAAACTGCCAGTTCCTCAAAATATTAAACACAGTTACCATGTGACCTGGCAAACTCACTCCAGAAGTGAAAACACCAACACACACAAAGGCTCATATGAGAATGTCCCCATGAATGTAATTCATAACAGCCCCCAAATGTAAACAACCCAATATCCATCAAGTGATGAACAAATGAAAAAAAAAGTGGTATTTTCATACAATGAAATATTGTTCCTCCATAAAAAGGAATAAAGAACTGATTCAGGCTACGTGGATGAATCTTGAAATCATTACGAAGAGAAAGCAGCCAGCCACCAAAGGCCACATGCAATGGGTCCCACTTTTCTGCAGTGTCCAGAACAGGCAAACCCACAGAGACAGAGCGGAGAGGCATGGTTGCCAGGGGCTGGCGGGAGTGGGTAAGAGCCAATCAGTGCTTAGGGACGTGGGTGAAGAACTCAACCTTTTCCTCCCACCCCCCAACCTCCCCCACATGCCATCCCTCTGAGCTTGGGACGGAGAAAGGGGGCTTCACAGAACCTATCACATCGCGGCCGCTTTAGGAAGCAGGGTGTGGGTCTCCCACCCACTGTCCATCTGTTCGGTCCCTTCCATCACCAACCAGAAACCTGAGATTCAACTCACATTTCTTGTGTTTTGCCCTTTCTCTTACCTTTTCCCATCTAGTCCACAAAGTTTGCTGGATTTTTGCCTGCTAAATGTCACTTGGGCTTATATCTTTTTCTCTAAAATTTTTCTACATAGTCTCCAGTTGTATCTGTATCACAAAGCAGTGGCCTCACACTTTGGTGAGCATTTTTATTCATAACTATTGAGCAGGAAGGAGTTGCATGACAAAAAGGCAGACTCCTGGGTCGCCTCACCCCAGACTGAATGGCTGAGTCCCTGAGTCTGATGTTTTCACATGTCAGGACATGTGAATATCTATTCATCCTCAACACTCAGCTCCCTTCTCGCCCCCTCAGGAAGCCTGTGTTCACTCATGGAAGCTGGTTAAATGCTCCCCGCCAGCATCCCATATGTACAGAGACATGCAAATCTCTTAGCATTTTCCAAATTAAATAGGGGTGGCGTACATGTACATGGATGACTCCATAACTAAATTACAAACTTCCTCAAGGCAAGTTCTGTGTTCCTAGATCTGTTCTCGATGCCCAGGGCAGTGCCTGGCACACAGTAGGGACTTAATAAATAAGCAGCAGGGATGGTGATGGAGTGTGGCCGTGGCAGAGATGAGTACCAACAGTGGACCTGTGCCAGGTACCATGTATTTATGGAGCCCCTACTCTGTTTTAGGCACTAGAAGGTGGGTGATATATGTTAACTCATTTTTAATCAGAACCACTCTAGGTATTAGTTCCATTTTACAGAAGTGTCATTGGAGCGAGAGGGACCCAATCACAGATTGGGAGCCAGAACCATGCTCCTCCCTCCTCCCCTGGCTCTTATCTCCACCCTTGTTATTCACCTCATCTTGGTGCCCAGAGATAATGTGGTCCAGGTACTGCCTGGAGCCTGAGATCAGAGGACAGAAAGGGGACCTTGGGCTGTTCTCCACCTATGCCACCCCAGCCGAATCTTCATCAGTCCCTTGTGGAATACTGACCTCTTTGAAGAGGTGAATGGTAATGTGATATTGTGATTATTTAATTTTTTTAAAGATTCATGTATTTATACAAGAACTGGGGTACAGTCAGAGGCACGAGAGGGTGAGAGAATTCACCAGAGACAAGAGCTGGGAGCAGGACAGGCAGATGGAACAAAGATACTGCTGAGGGGAGCTGTGGGAGAGGCAGGAAAGGTCTGCCGTGCCATGTGGGTTTCCCCCTGGCCAGCCAGGAATCGAACCTGCACTGCAGAGGCTGCGGACAGTTTCACAGCACAGCGCTCAACCCATGCGCCACCAGGGAGGCCCTGATATTGTGACTTATAATAAGAGAAATATATTTGGTTTTGGACTGTCTTCCAGGCTTAGAGCTCCTAAAACCTTTGGAATTTCCTAAGTGATAAGAGCTATAAAGGTGTCTTTTGTTATTCATAATAAGCTCCTTTTCAATTGGAGTTTATTTAACATAGTGTTTTATTGAAAAGCCTTTAGATAACTTGAGGTTAGGGGCTGGCAGGCAAGGGAAGGAACCATGAAGTCGGAGTTGAAACTTTCAGTCCCAACACCATAACCACAGAGGAAGGAAGAGGCAATGGAGGTCAAATCAATCACCAATGGCTAATGATTTAATCAAACCCATCTAAATAATAAAGCCTCCATAAAAATCCAAAAGGAGGGGCCTCCCTGGTGGCACAGGGATTAAGACGTAACCTGTGGAGCAATCCACAGCCACTGCAGCACAAGTTCGATTCCCAGCCAGCCAGGGAGCTACCCACATGGAGGGACAGACCTCTCCTGTCTCGCCCGCTGCTCCCCTCAGCAGTGTGCTTCGGTCCGTCTGCCTGTTCTGTTTCCCGCTCTGTCTCTGGTGAATCCTCTCACCCACCGCATCTGTGGCCTGTACCCCAATTCTTAAATAAAAATAAATAAATCTTAAAAAAAAATCCAAAAGGATGGGGTTCAGAGTTTTCAGGTAGATGAGCACATGGAGCTGCTGGGAGGGTGGCGTGGCCCGAGAGCACACCATAACTTGCCCAAAGCATTTCTTCCATGTGGCTGTTCATTTTGTAATAAACTGTGCTGTCGTATGGGATCTCTTCCCTGACTTCTGTGGGCCACTCAAGCAAATTAATGAACCCCCAAGGAGGGAATCATGGGAATCTCTGACTCATAGCCCGCCGGTCAGAAGCACAGGTGACAACCTGGTCTGGGGACTGCGGTCTGAACTGGGGCCAAGGGGACAGACTTGTGGAACTTAGGCCTTAACTGTGGGATCTGACTCTACGTCCAGAAATGGGTGTCAGAGTTGAGTTAAACTGTAGGATACCTTGCTGGTGTCTGAGAATCTGTGAATTGCTTGATGCATGGGAAAAACCCCACACATTTTGGTGATCAGAAGTGTGCAAATGAAGAGTATTATTGAAGGTGCATTGAATACACTGGAGTGTTAATCCTCAGTAGGTAAGAAGGGGGAAAGATAAAGACAGTCTTGCCCTTACTCTTTGACTGCCTTGTTCTCAGGCCCCAGAAAGCAGAACAAGGAGGCTCCATTCGGAAGCACTGCCCAAGCCCCATCTTCCAATTAAAGTTAGTAAGGTAGAGAATGGAATGTCAGGGGAATAAATATAAACTAAGGCTTTTGATTACATTGTGTATGTTAAAAAGCCTCATATGTTAGCCCCACTGTCCCGTCACATAAGGGGCCCCAAATGTAAAGCAGAGAATAAACACTTTGCTGACTGTCTTACACTTTCAAAATTGCTTCTGTGGCTGACTCCATTTACAAGAAGGGTGAAGAGCACCTTACCAGGTAATCGGATAGGCTTCCACGGAGCCGAGTTTGGTACATAGGCATGCTTTGTGGCGGTGACGATCAGCTGAGTGCCCAGCTTATACTGGAACTTGATGAAGGCAACTCCATCTGAGCCCGAGGTGCCAGAGGCAATGGAGACCTGGTTGGTGAAAACCTCAATCAGAGCCTCTGGGACGGGCTGATGGGTGCTGGCGTCACTGACATGAACCTTCAGAGTAACCTCTGGAACAAGGAAAAAGCAACACAGAACAATTGTTATTAATTGGGCCCCTTCTACAGTGATTCTTTTGTAACTATGATAGCAAGTGGAAGTGGATACTCTAAGTTAATCTATATCTATATCCAAATATGAATCATGTTAACCAGGGAAAATTTCTTCTTAGAGACCCTTGTCTTCTTTGTATGATTTCCACCCAAACGGCCTTCCTCTTCATTCCTCCCTGCTCATAACAAGTAACTTGAAGGAAAATTCTATCTCTTGAAGACATTGTGCAACAAACACAATGCTTGCTTATCCTCCCCAGAGTTGCAGGCAAACACAGCCCAAACAAGGCTTGAACTGCTACAGAAGGACCCTGCCAGCTCTAAGATATGCAGCCAAGTTCTTCAACAGTCCTGATAGAAATGAGCAATTCAGGATCATTGTGCTGGTAACTGAGAAGACTAAGCCAAAAAAACAGGACCACATTATCTTTAAAAGGGAGGTGCCAAAGAGTGGAAGAAGAGAAGGCAAGGAAAAAAAAAGTAAACATTTGAAAGACAGATGAAATTTAGTTACTGGCAAAAACAGATCATAAATATGGGAAATTGAGAGATTAAAACGTTAAGCAATTAAAATGGAATGGACAATTTTCACTTATTTATGCAAGAAATGTTTGTTGAGGTGTTACTACCTAGAATTGTGAGTACGCACAACTGCAGCAGTGAAGAAAAGTGCTGTGCTGGGGACATTTGATGTGGGCACCGGCATTGATGGAGCAATATCTGCAAGGCTCAGGGGCAATATCTGCCAATATCTGCCAAGGCTCAGGGGCAAGAAAGCCATGCCTCCTGGAGAAACGCAAACAGGATGGAAAATATGAGGGGTGTGAGGCTGGAAAGGTCAGAACAAGGCTGGAGAGGCAAGCAGAGGGATCACTCAGGACTTGAGATGTGACTTATAGGGATCATTCTCTATCCCAAGGGCAACAGGATGTCAAAAAGGTTTTAAAAAGGGGAGCTCAAATCAAATTTATGTTCTAGAACCCCAGGCACTGGTTACAGAATAAACTGGGAGAGGCAAGTTTGGAGATTGAACATGTCATTAAAAGGCCTCTTCAGTGATCCAGAAGAGATGATAAGGACCAGACTTCAGCATCATGGTAGAAGTCCATTAAAGGACACCAATTCCAGAATCACATTCCAGAACAATCAGAAGTATATTCTGCTTCTGTGATAAACCCTTTTGCTTAGGTGTGAAGGCACTGAGAAAGCAGGTGGGAAAATGATTGACTAAGTGAAATTCACCGTTAGTAAATTTCCGTAAGCCCTGTAAGCCCACTCCTGGCCGCCACTTGCCATATATTTTGAGTTTCCTCAGATCTGAAAGCCCTAGTGGGCACTTGGAATAGAAGATGGGGGCAAGGAATAGCAAAGAACATGTTCACAGAAGCTCATTTGAATCTAGCTCATTTGAATCTAGTTGAGGCCGTGGCCTTGTAGTAAGGGGAGGAGTTGTGTCAAGGCTGGAACTGCCGCTCACTCCCTAGGTTGGAATTTCAGCTCCACCAAGTTCTAGCCAGGTGGTCTTGGGAAAGGGGCTTATACTCTTCAGGCCTCAGTTTCCTCATCTGCATGCAGGGGGCGGTAATGACACATGGGAAGAGACATTCAGGATAATCGCTGACAGTGAGCATAGACACAAGCCATCACCATTATGTTATGCCAAGGGCTGAACTATTGGGTCACAGAGTCCAAGGTGCAAAACAGGCACTAAGGAGGGAGCTGAGGTGGGAGGGGATGGTTAAAACAAAGAGGAGGTGTGAGACATTCTTCTTAGGGGTAATAACTTTCTACACAAAGCTCTTTAACAAGGACCACCGCATTGAGAAGAATTTCTTTTGCTTTTTTGGACAAATATCTTATGATAATAAGGCAACCTTTTACTAGCTGTAAATTTACTAACTGTAAATTTCAGTTAATCCATCATTTTCTCACCTGCTTTCTCATATACTGACTTAATACATTTATTGAACTAGACGACCACAGAGAATAGGTAAAGAATCCTAGACCTCATTACAGATTTGCAAGAAATAAATCTCTCGGAATCCTGTAGACAAAAAAACAATATTACAAAATCAGAACTTGGATACTTCCTACCAGAGGCAAAACTGAATGCCTAAACAGGGATAAAAGCAACGTCATAAAAATCAAGGACATCATTACAAAAAACAGTCAATTCCCCCAATCTTATCAGTGGTATCTTTTTTTAAAAAGATTTATTTATTTATGCATACAAGAGTTGAGGAACAGGCTCCCGAGGTGCTGGGGGTGAGAGGATTCACCAAAGACAGAGTGGGGAACAGAACAGGCAGAGTGACCGAAATACACTGCTGAGGGGAGCAGTGGGCGAGCCAGGAAAGGTCTGCTGTGCCATGTGGGTAGCTCCCAGGCTAGAGATTGAACTCATGCTGCAGCGGCCATGGACAGCTTCATAGGTTGCGTCTTAACCCCTTGCACCACCAGGGAGTCCCTTATCAGTGGTATCTTAATGCAGATCTGCAGGGCACACACCACGAATTTTCTTATTTAACTAGATTGCTCTAGCCCTCAAGTAGTATTCAAAGTTATCTCACAAATGAATTCAGTTTTCATTAACATTCACATAGTAGACATCCTCTAGACCAGGGCAAGTGGGAAGGAGGCTTTATAGGGCTGCATTGATGATTTATGCAATTTTATGGTAATGCAACATTTACTAACAATTGGAATTACAAGATTTTTAATCCCTCTTCACTGTTTACAGTAAAGAGGAAAGCAACTGAGATTTGGAAAAAGCTATAGGAGGTCAACTACACTCAAAATCTTAGGTTTCAGTACATGAGTTTTTCTAACATGGGATGCCAAGTTTATGTTCTGCAATTGTGTACTTTGAGATTGTTTAGCTACTTTTTCAGGTGCTATAGGATGTGCAAACATGTCAATGATTACAGATGACTGAGTATCAATATTCTTTAATTTTGCAATTTACTTGTATGACACTATGTCATGCAGTCCCCAGTTTAGTAGCTCTGGATCTAGTACCTTTAAAAAAAAAAAGTTTATTTATTTTTTGTTTTTGTTTTTAAGAACAGCTTTAGGTTCACAGCAAAACTGAACAAAAGTTAAAGGAATTTCCCACGAGGGGTATCATTTTTATAAAGTAACAGAATTAGATAATCCATTCACCAGCAAACAAAGCTATTCCTATTAAATAGCATGTAGTTTGTATTTGCTATATATTATAACAAGTAGGTTATAAATTTAGAACCAGGTGAGATATCTTGCAGATTAAAGAAAGACCCTACAAATGGCCCCAGAACTAAACATGCATTAGGATGTGCTGTTTCTTTTTTGGTCAATGAGAACACAGGGATCCTGCTGAGATGATTGCTGAATCATAGCTGGGACATCATTTTTTTACTCCCTACGCTGCACATCCATCACTGAGTCCAGCTGATTCCAAATGTATGTCTCCAAGCAGGCCTTTCTCTCCCATCCTTGTTAACAATGCCCTGGTTCAGGCCCTCACCATCTATCACCCAGACTGCTGCTCAGTCTCTTAATCAAAACTGCTATGGACAGGACCACTGAGATCCCACTGAAGGCAGAGGGAGGCAGCCACAGTTAAACTGGTCTGGCCATTCCCTGCCCTCCTTCAAACCCTCCAGTGTCTTCCCTTCCCCCAGAGCAACTACCAAGGGCCATGTATGGCTAGCTTCCTTTTTTTCATAGCTTCCATAAGCTAAGAATGGTTGTTTAGACCTTTAAATGATATGTCAAATGAAAACTATCTGGAATACAAATTGCAGTGTTCATAAACAAAGCTTCCTTGGAAACAGCCACACCCCATCATTTGTATATTGTCTAAGGCGGGTTTTGTATTGCAGAATTCAGAAGTTTAGAAACTTTGACCTAGCTTCTGACCAGCAAAGCTGAACTATTTACTTATGACTCTAAAAAGAAAAAAAAAAAAAAATAAACAAAGAAAACCTCTGGCAACCCTAGACCAATAGGATCCATTTCAAGGCAACCTCTGTCCTCTCACATCAGTCCTCACCCAATCGCCACATACTACCCACGGACCCCCAAACTGTCCCATACTTTTCCTGCTCCTTCCTGTTGTTGGCTCTCATTTTTGTAGGAAATAGCTTTCTACAACCTACTTTCACGTTGCTCATTCCTACTTATCCTTTAAAATCCTAAATAAGGTTTATTATTGGAGAAACTACTCTCTAACTACCAACCCCTCCCCAAAGTGGGTTAGAGGCCCCTCATTTCCACCTCCTCAAACCGTATACATAGACAAGGCTCCTTCCTTATTTCCACTTGAGTCAGTATTTATTGTAGACCTACTATGTGGGTAGACAATGGTGACCACACCCCAACCTTGAGGAGCTTTTGGCTTTAGATATTCATTAAGTACCAAAGTGCAGTTGTGCATGGGGAGAAGTACCTTCAAGGAAAACTAGGTACCATGAGAGCAAAAAGGAGGGGGACCTACTTCTAGCAGGAAAGATATCACTTCAGCTCGGACCTGAAGGATACACAGGAAATAGTCAGGCAAATTTGTATATGCTTGGGGGTGAGACTGACCTGGATGCTTGAATTAAATAAAAACCAGTGGGGAGGGAGAAGCCAAAATGAATGAACCATCTCTCAATATGGTAGACACCAGCCACAGGAGGATGCAGATTGAGAAACCCAAGTCTGGTCAAGTTGCAGCAACGGAAAAATGTTTATTCGGGACTTTAGAACTACAATCCAGAGGGCATAGATTCAAGAAGAACTCGAGCTGTGAGCTGCTTCCATGGGGTGATGAGTGCTTATAAATACAAGGTTGGGTAGTCCACACTCGTTTATGCTTTATGCAAATGAAGTCATTGGCAGTGAAGTTCTAATGGGTGGAAAGATCCTATGTGGTGACTGGTTGTATCTCAATTCTGAGTGGTCGTCTAGGAGCTAGACATGCCTGGGCATGCCTA